GTCTGGAGACTGGCTAGGCCACTCCAGGACCTTGAAATGCTTCTTACGGAGCCACTCCTTAGTTGCCCTGGCTGTGTGTTTGGGGTCATTGTCATCCTGGAAGACCCAGCCACGACCCATCTTCAATGCTTTTACTGAGGGAAGGAGGTTGTTGCCCAATGATGGTGTTCTTGGGATTGTTGTACTCATCCTTCTTCTTCCTCCAAACACGATGAGTGGAGTTTATACCAAAAAGTTCTATGTTGGTTTCATCTGACCACATGACCTGCTCCCATGCCTCCTCTGGATCATCCAGAAGGTCTTTGGCAAACTTCAGACGGGTCTGGACATGTGCTGGCTTGAGCAGAGGGACTTTGCGTGCGCTGCAGGGTTTTAAGCCATGACGGTGTAGTGTGTTACTAATGGTAACTGTTGAGACTGCGGTCCCAGCTCTCGTCAGGTCATTGACCAGGTCCTCCTGTGTAGTTCTAGGCTGATCCCTCACCTTTCTCAGGATCATTGATATTTCATGAGGCGAGATCTTGCATGGAGCCCCAGGGGGATTGACAGTCATCTTGAATTTCTTACATTTTCTAATAATTGCGCCAACAGCTGTTGCCTTCTTACCAAGCTGTTTACCTATTGTCCTGTAGCCCATCCCAGCCTTGTGCAGATCTACAATTTTGTCCCTAGTGTCCTTAGACAGCTCTCTGGTCTTGCCCATAGTGGAGAAGTTGGAGTCTGATAGATTGAGTGTGTGGACAGGATTTAGAGTCCATCATAGTACAGAAACCGCATTGGTGAAAGTCACCAATGATCTTCTCCTAGCCTCGGACAAAGGACTTATCTCCATACTTGTCCTCTTAGATCTCAGTGCTGCTTTTGACACCAATGATCACAGCATCTTACTGCAGAGACTTGAACATGTTATTGGGATTAAAGGAACTGCGCTAAGTTGGTTCAAATCTTATTTATCAGAAAGATTTCAATTTGTTCATGTTAATGACGAATGTTCCACACAAACTGAAGTTAGTCACGGCGTTCCACAGGGCTCTGTGTTAGGCCCAATTCTCTTCACTTTATACATGATCCCTTTAGGCAATATTATCAGGAAGCACAACATAAATTTCCATTGCTATGCAGATGATACTCAGTTATATTTATCTATGAAGCCAAATGAATCAGATCAGCTGGTCAAACTTCAAGCATGTCTTAAAGACATAAAGGCCTGGATGACCTGCAACTTCTTACTTCTAAACTCTGACAAAACTGAAGTTATTGTGCTTGGGCCTGAAAACCTTAGAAATCTGCTGTCTAACCATATAGT